TGTATGTATGTATGTATGTATGTATGTATGTATGTATGTATGTATGTATGTATGTATGTATGTATGTATGTATGTATGTATGTATGTATGTATGTATCAACAAACTAAACTTATTGTTTCATTTCATCAGGTTTGTACTACAAACTTCCAAACGAATATTGATATATTTGTGATATGTTCTTACCTCCCACATATATTCTGTCTCTGTTTCAATTTTGATGTCTTCTGGTCGTACCAGTTTTCCCTCGTAAGGCCCGATCCAGGTTCCCGCCGGTATCCTCTTCCTGGCGCAAACGCCGTAACCGACGCAAGGAATGCTGGATGTACACAAGCAGACCTCGTCCGGGAATTTAAGAATAGAACCATTCTCTAATGGACTATGGGACTGCCCAGCGCTGACGAGTTTTCTGAGTGAATGCAAAGGTCCGTGCATTGGACATTCTCCATCATGTTTCTCGTTGCAAATGTCACACCCTGTAAAAGTTACGTACTATTCATCAGAAGTATATTCTTTATTTTATTACACCACTTGCTGTGCTGGCGCAGAAGTTGAATGTAGAAAAATCAAATTGACCCGCTGTACGTACTTATGTTTTTTAGACTACGAACCGTGTTCCTCTTTTCACTTAACCAGGAAAAAGAAGCAACGAAGGGGGGAAAATGATTACGTTCACCCCGGAATTCTGGACTGAGAGGCCTTCATGTTTTTCTCTCGCATTTTCATGTTCTTACTCGACAAACTATGAAAAAATAGGACCTTAGCGTAGTCTCTGCGCTGCTTTCAAATGTAGGCCAATTATTCGATAGTTATGTATTTTCCATTTCATTTTTCGTTTCAAACCTTGGCAGGCATCAACTTTAAAGTCGGTACACGGGTCCGCACACAGGGACATGTGAAAGCAGCATGCGTGGATCATTGACAAAATTACGTGCTGTTCACACTAGGCGACTTGCAGCCACGATGTGCAAGCCGGTGAAAATTTCTCTCGTGGGTGTTGATAGGATTCAGCTCGTGAAAACGAATCTCTATGCTTCATGTCCCTTTGTGCAAATAGGCCATGTCCGAATTACCTTGGGCCTCTATTTGAAAACGAGACTACGTGCAAAAAAAAATGAGTTTGATTTGCATGAAAATAAACATGTAGGCGGAACAAATTTTCATATGAATGGTTTCGCACGAAGGCTCGTTTTCAGTGACACAGAGGCAAAAGGCAACTCGGAAATGGTCTATTTTGTTGCTTGTGCATGACTGCGACAACTCAGTGTCCCCTCAGATGTATCGACCTTAATGTTGATAGTCTTGCTGGAAGCTGAGTTTGTAATCAACTGGTTGTTTGTCCCAACACGAGACTTCTATTCAAAGCTCGTGCTTGGTGTTCTATATTTAGACCACTCTGACGGATCGTGACTGGTTATTTTTCTTTATAATTGACTGAAAACAATGCATTCAGAATATAAACCAGTGTCATGCTCGAGCTCCTCCCGAACGCTTTGAAACAAAATCTTGACAATGTAGAGCCGTGGGATTGTTCAACATTGAATTTTTTATATTTTCTTTTCCCTTAAATTCTTCTAGTTTTTGAGTACCATATTTCCTTTTCATTTATCGCTGAAGTGAATACATCAACGAAAACAAAACCCTTTATATTGAGGCTTGTAAAGAATAAATAATAGATTAAAATTTTGAACAATTTTCTATCAAATTTTAACAATGCAGTTGCTTTCGAACTTCTTGCCAAATTCCAGTCTTTAATTTCAAATGCAGTTCATCTTTTTGTGCATAACAATCAAATCTTTAAATTGCATTCTTGATATAAATAACAGAGAAATGCAAAACAGGCCACCAGAACGCATAAAAACAATTTACTTACAGAGTACGGACTACAAAATGGCCAATCACAGCTCGCGTTCGATTAGAAATAAGCAATAACAATATATCCTTTTTCTTTCAGTGCAAGTTGTATTAAACTAATTATTTCAATTCATAACCGATCAAGATTGCAAAGTACAACTGATATTCAGTCAACAACAGTTACATGCTCAAGCGGCTTCCATGAACACAACACGTGGAAATCACCATGTGCCATGTTCGATTTCATCACGTCTAATTTTTTTAAAAGACGAAACTGACTGATTTACTCTACAGATTATTTCTCTTCTAGCAAATATTTTGTAGAAGATCAAATTGAGACGTTTTCCACAGTGTTCATTTAACTGTGTTTTATAACATTTAGTTGATGTTTATTCGAGGGAGGGAATATTCAAGATTGAAAACACAGAAGTTTTAAAAGCGACTGGACAGTGTTTATTTTGTCTCTCGCTGTTTATACGCTTTCTCAGAAATCTTTCATCTCGGAATGAGAGTGACATTTTCTGTCTTCAAGCGAGATTGTCAATATCACATGACAGACCGCGACACAACTATATCTACATATTTGAATGCTCAGCACTGAGGGAAGTCAATAATAGTTTATCGAAAGCGTAAATTACGACTCTAAAAGCCAACCCTAGTAGATTTATTGCAGGCATATTAATATCTGCCAATTTTTAATTACTATTTCGAACTGATGTTGGTTTTTACTCTATAGAGCGGTAGCTGTGATAGTAGAATCACAATGAAGGCATCTAAAACCCATCTACCCGTGAAAAGGTTTAAAAACTTAAGTACTCACATGAAATAGCTTTATTACTCGTCCCATTTTCCAGTTGCGTCGCTTGCCTCCGCCGTTGCTGCAGCTGTACTGGGTCCACAAGACGAATGGGAGTATAGCCATACAAATAGTTGAACAAATCTTCGGCGGTAAGCTTATTTCGTTGCGAGGAGGCAGGAGTGGAGGAGTTTTGAATTTGAGCGGGAGAAGTACTTCCCCCTTGCGGTCTCGCTCTGTCCAAGCCGGCGAATGCTGCCATGTCTAATTTCCCAATTTCAATCTTCGGCGCGAGAAGACCAAGATATTGCTGCCGTGATGAAAGTCTCTCTCTAGGTTTCACGTTATTCAAGGAAGTTTAACAAGCAGAAACCTATGAAAAATGAAACAGCGTATCAATAAATCATTGCACAACGCTCTATCCGCTCTGAATCCAGCCAGGTGCCTTCATTCTTGGCTTTATACAAATGACATAAGTTGGAAAGGAAATTATTCATGTGCTGTCAAATGAAGCGTACACCGGCACCTGCTCCACGTTTTGAAAAATTGATGAAGGCTAAATAACTTCTTGGCGGTAAAACAGGCATCTTTTCTTTGCTAGCGCAGGTAGGCTTAGTATTATTTTAGACGGGATTTTGGTGGCACGTGCCTATCCAGGGTGAACGGCTGACGAGTGGAAATCAATAGAGGTCGGACTTATTTGATTCCACATTAAACGGGAGAAACAAATAGTCGTAAATACTTTTGCTTGTATTTTATTTAAAAGCGCATTATATTTGTGCCTCACTTTTTCTCTTGGTAAGAGTTGATGGGCAGCTACGATGAAGTTGTCAAAACGTTTTGTTTGAGTGAGCGACACAACTTGTCACGGGTAATTAAACACGCAAACACAAAACTTAATAGGCACTTTCCCGATTTTCGGTGAAAGGAAATATATATCTTAAACTCTATCTAACAGCGACTTCTGAAGGCAACATTTTGACCCAATCGGTGCGAAGTAAAACCTATTTTCAAGTAAATGTAAACCATGTTACACGGCAGGTGAGCTTGTCTGCTAACTTCGAATTTTTTAAGGCGTGTTATTAGTAGGTAGCTAGAAGCACCGAAGTTGTAGCGGTTATCTTTTCGCGACTATGATAAATAATACAAGCGAGACGGTCCTACCGGCGTGATCTTTGATAAAATCAGCAAATATTCCACATATTCTACTTCATGATTATAGCTTTTAAAGTTATGCTTTGATTAAAATTTTGTTTTACTTTCTTTGGACTTCTCGTTAAATCACAGAATTCCTGGGCATCTGTAGAAACAAGTGCAGTGGAAGCGTTATGGTCAATATCTAATTACGTCTGTACTACAAGTCTCTGTGCTTAAGTCCCGCATCTCAGTACAATTCTGATTCCTTAGCATGTCTACTGTCTACTGAAATAACGAAAGAAATATCCACAGTAATACTGCGTAAATAATTTCTCCGCAATAGCTCTCACCTCAAGAAGACACCAAGTAGAGTCCCTTTGCAGCGAGATCACACAATGAATATCCCAAATCCATCTTTACAAGTAAATCTCCAACAAGCTTTCAAAACAGCCAACAGGAACAAGGTTTAAAAACACGTGTGATTCCTTGATTTGACGAGCACGTGTCAATCTTAGACTTGTAAGAAATGGTTGTGAAATGGTTCGCCGTACGAATGCCTGAAATGGACTCGACAGCTAGGAACGCTTTCGTGATTCTTACACGAACTCAAGTGCTCTTAGGCAACCGAAATCTGACTCTGAAGGTAACTAGTTGTGGAATTTAAGAATCTCCCACAGATCTTCTCGATCAACTGACAGTGTTGTAAATTCCAATATGTATTTCGTTGTAACATTACCTGGCGTGAGAATAAGCGAGAGGGAAACTTGTGAAAGGCTTGACTTGTAAATAATTAATTGCATGCCTGGGTTAAGTGACAACAGATTCAATCAATATGAAATTTCAATAATTAATTTTGTGTTTTGAAAATAGCTTCAATTGTTTGCAAGAGAAAATGTTTAAATATGCATGACCTGTCAAGTAGCTTTTTATTATTTATAGCCCTGGCATTTTATGGCAGTGAAAAATTACCGCGCATTCTGACTAAGATCTAGTGAGCTAGATTGTTTCGAGAACAAACTTTAATCGATTCCGGAACTGTGTGAAAACTGTAAAAACGCTCAATTGCAGCAGCAAAACAAAACTTCCAATAAGGGAAAAAAGACTCATTTTTTCTCGAGAGACGCATTTTGGAAAAAAAAAAATTTCCCCGAAGCTGAAGAGATTGGAAACAACATCCGAGCTACAAGCCTGAAAAGGATAAGTGTATTATTTAGCAAGGCCTTATCCGATAGGTTTTGTTCGTTTATTTGTCTAAGAAACATGCAAAACAAACATTTATTTTCGAGGCAAAAAGCAATACATTATTTGACAGTTACGTTCTTAGGAAATCCTGAGTGGGAAATAACGATGAAGACTGCGATAAAATTTGAATTCGCGAACATTTGGGAAAAGTATTATTGCGGGTTGATTTTGGAAGCTATTGTGTATTCGAAAAAGTGCGAAAACCTTTTAGGCAGGTTGACAAAGCCTTGTTTAATTTTTCATAAGGGTTGTCTCGCTTGTTAGCTGTCTGTAATTGAGATCTTTCCAATCTAAACATAGGAAACAGTTTATGGAAAGCTATGAAATAGTGATAAAAGTCAAAAAGAATATTTAGCGCTGGATTTATCTCGCATTTAACAATGTGGCTCGATAAACTTTTTGTTCTCTTCTGTCATATGGAAATCAGTGCTCTTTACATATGTAAACGCATTCATTAGCTTCTTTTCTTCATGCCTCACAGTTTCTTTAACATTGCTTTCAAATCATTGAGCTTTGCCAAAGATAACAATTCCCCGTTGTGAAAAATCAATTAGAAAGAAGTGTTCCACATGGCTAAATGTTATTGACCTTTATTTGGACTCGGCTATTAGGGCCAAGGTAGCCTCTGCGGGGTTCCTAAGTTAATAAAAATCAAATTCGAAAAATGTAAAAATAAAGTGGCAATTTATCTCATATTAACCATACTTTCACCTCACGGAATTTCTATCTGGGGATGATTTGGCAAAAACAAAACGTTCAAAGTTCTTGTTTCGCGCGCTTTTCGATTAAGATTCGATCGTGCTTTGAAAAAAAAAAGCGGGTTCAAAGATAAACAAAGAATTCCTGGTGTTTGGATATCTACTTGTTCGAGTCATGAAAGCTATGTAACTAAAATCATGTCCATTTAAGCTTTTTTTGGTATTCTTCTGTTTGTTTTTCGAACATTTTTCCGTACCATCTTTCGCTTCGTTATTTCAAATTGAAATTTAATTTTGGTTGTTAAATAGTGTTGCTATACCCTTAAGTGTTACATGAAAACCAGCTCTTATCAATATCTTAGTTACAAATTTAATTGATAAGTATCTTCCAAACAATAAAAAGAACTTCGAGGAATTCACACCAAACAGAAACAGCTTACGAACAAGGCAACAGATCAAGATGAACAATGCGCATGTGCGGTTATGCGTCACACTTGCAAAGACTCGCATAAGGGAAAATAAGTAAAGAGAGAGGCTATTTGATTTTGCGAGTGTACTCTTGAAGCTAAGGCCTAAGCACTTTTTGTAGTTCATCTCGTCTTTACACAAACACCGTGCAATTCGACTTGATACCGGGGCATTTGTCAAAAAAGGCAATTACTTATAATAAGCTAAATCATTTCCGAATAGTACCGTTAAATATGTACGATTTCTAATGGCTACTAATACCTTTGGATTATTTAAGCGCTCTAGCAGTGTGGTCTGGAATTCAATCGACTAAAGCTGTATTTTTATCACGAAAGCCGAGAGAAGAGAGTGATCAGCTTCTTATCAAATCTCGTTATAATATCAATAAACTTTCAGCCAAACATCCGATAAGTGAGAATAAAGAACTCGAGAAGTGCTTCTTGCATAGTGTTCGTTTATCGTATTATGGATGCCCAGTGGATGTTGGAAGAGCAAACGGGAAGAGAAAGAATTCTTCCAAGTGAAGCGGAGAGTGACGCCAGTTTCACGGTGAGTTAGTTAGCAGGAACAGTGATCAATTTGTATCTTCTCTTCGTATTTTTATAACAAATTCAAATGCGCAGGTGATGAGAATAACAGGAAGACTTTTCCCCCCTTAGGGAATTCGAAGATGTCAGTAACTTAAAGTTTTTTTTTAACCCAACTTATAGAAAATTATAGTAAATGGCAGTTTTAACTGATTTCGGAAAAAAAAAAAACGAACGAGTTGAATGAGATGAACTGTTTAATAGCATCAAGATGTAAGACGAAAGGGTGGAAGGAGTATCAATATCAACCGAAGTGACTTTTGGAAAAAAGAGGTTTACTTGTTAGTAAAATTCATGGTCGGGAATTGTTCAAACTCATTTTTATTTGTAAGTCCTTGCTCAAAGAAGATATTAAGTAATAATATTGTTCAAAAAAACACTTGTAAATCAAACAGCACCGCTCTACACACATCGCATAATATTTTTGGTTCGAATCTTTATAACACAGGATAAACAATCATAGCTTGATGCTATTTCCTTAGACTGCAACATACACCAAAAAGAGATACTTTAAAAAGTAAACATACCTTTAAAACTGCCTTATAACTCGCCCAGCGTCCAGCCATTAAACTTCCCAAATCCACAATCTCCAAAAGGATAAAAAAGCCCCCATCTCCCTAAAGTAGCTTTCATTGCCGACCATCAGTCCATTTAACTACAGCAAAACTGTGTTTCAATTGCAAACCGTCAACTGATTGTTCGCGAACATAATGCTTTCTTAGCGTTTGTGCCATTACTGTACTATTTAGCACGATTTAATATATATAAAACTGAGTTTTAACGAACTTAAGTTTAAGTTAACCCGTTTTCACAAATTATAACACCAAGGCAGTTAAGCTTGTGGTTTCAGTGGATGGTTTTATGACAGATCAACCCGCTCTTTAGCGGGTTGTTAGCGGGTGTGACGGGTATTTCACTTCTTCAAATCTTTGTTTTGAAAGAGCCTTAAGTCAAATGCAAAAACTTCACTAAATTGAAGTTTTGGTTATGCTACATCGATCTGAAGTGTTAGTTTCAAAGATTCAAGGAAACCCGAATTGAGATACAATTGTCATGTACTTCTGCAATTAGATTGGTAAGTGAGAGGTCGTTTTTGATTATAAAACTGTTTGAATTAGGTTTCTAATAATAATCATGACACAGTTCAACTTAAAACCTAATCAATTTCCGAGGTTATAACGCCAGATTTTTAACGAAAATCACTTAGTGACGAATTGCAAATTACGTTACCAGACAACAGAGCTGTTGGGGGGAATCGTGATGGATCAGTGGGTATGCAGTCAGGGTACCACTGAGTTCGTGAGTTCAGTCAGACCTAGAAATGATTATGACTGTGATCGTAAGTTGCATTCATCTTACGTTTTGTGTTCTTGGACAAGACACTAATGCGCCTCTCTAACCTGAAGTAGAAATGTTTACCGGTAAAAAGGCAAAATGTAGGACCTCCCGTGGGAGTGGTCATACTCCTACTTTGTCGCTTGCTATAGACGACAAGCCAGAGAAAAGCCCGTGTCGTCATCATCATCATCATCGTCATCATCATTATTATCATCATCATCACCAACATTTGTGCGTTCTTTGAGTGGAGAATTGAGCTGTAATCTCTCTGCTTCCAGCCTAACCACAACTAGGTTATCCGTTTGACAAAACAGACTCCACCCTCACCAGTACTGGCTTAGCAGTTTTAAGCCACAATCGTTTAAACAAGCCACCTCGATTCTTGTCAAATTCAAGAACAATTTAAATGAACTGCGTGTATTTGACTGTACTGTATGATATTTCCAAGTTATATGGAAATCTTCCTTTGTTTTTCGCCGTTGCTAGGAAACAATGGATGATTTGTTTTAAGTGACTTAGGTGTTAGTTGCATGCAGGGCGTGGCTGTGGTTTAAGACTATTATTGCACCCTTGTTATAGTTTCTTGCAGATTGTTTTTTTTTATGAAGTCCGTAGCCATGATCGCTTTAACGTTTCTATTTGTGGTCATGATATGCTGCACAGCTGAAAACTCTACAGTATCAACTGGTAAGTGACGTCACAGACACAATTGTTAATCACGTCATTTATTCTTTACCATCCAGGGTCCGATTTTTCAATCATCTATTAAGCAATTCAGAACTAGAATGAACTGATTGCATTTTTAAATTTTTGCAGTAAGGCTTTCTGCTTATATTCCTCTCCTTCAGTTTTGATGGCGACTGATATATGCAGAATTGGCAATGAAAAGCTCTTCTATACTGACAAGAAAAATCAAAACCTCGATCACATTTGACCCCGGATTAGTGTTATTCGGTTTCAAACAACGCGGCGAGGAAAATAAAACGGTAAAATACTGAAATTTGTAATGCACAGGTAGGGCCCAGTCCAAGAGAAGGAACAATACCCCAAATTGCTTGATTTATGTAAATATATCTTGACTTTGTTTCTTCTAATGATAAGTAAATTCATCGAATAAATGCTCCTGGTAGTAATACGCATTTAAGTTTATGTCATCTTTTAGAGCAAGCTGTGGGTATATATCAACATGAAGTGAATTTTGATACGTTGGAATATAAGGAGGGCTCCATACACCCCCATTATACCACGCCCCGTTTGGGGCGTGATCTATGCGAGGGGACTAATTGCTGGTTTTCAGTGTCACGCAATTCAATTAGATCAAAATCAAAATCAAAACCGGTCAATAGATAAAGTCCAGAATCTGGGAAATGAAAGAAGGCAAATATGCAAAGACTCTCGCCAAAATTCTGGTC